GCCCAGGCCAGGTGACTATGCTTTCAGAGAGCAATTCTCAGAGAAGAGGGGGTTGTCAAGTAGCAGTCAATAGTCATAGAAGCTATGAGATGGGTGCACCAGTCAGGTAGAGGGGATCTGGCTGAGGCACCCACAGTGCCTTTGAGAAGGCACTAGGGATTCCAGGCATGGGGAAATACTGAGAGCCTTAAAGGAATTTCTATAGATTCATGGCTTTGAGATATATACATATCTCAAAGCATCTCCTGAATTTCAGACCCTGGTGGGATTAGTATGCTGAAGAGTATGACATGGTGGCTACCATTAGCTAATCTATGGACTAAGAGTGGAAGTAGACAAAGATGTAGAAGTGTTAAGCTGGTGTGACTTGACTTCTGACAGAGTCACATAGAGTTTATTCAGAGGTACGATGTGGGAACAGTAATCAATCCAGGTGATGGCTGGGGAGGAGATCAGGGAAAGCTTCCCACATGATGTAACATCACAGCCAGCCTAGTCAGGGACCTTCATCAAGTTCTTTTCTTCCTATTTTATAATTTCCTGTGGCTGCCACACTAAATAACCACAAACTGGTGGCCTAAGCAACAGAAATTTATTCTCACAATTCGGGAGACCAGGAATCTGAAATCAAGATAAGGGTGTGCACCCTAGCTGGTTTTTCTCAGTGGTTAGAGCAGACTGAAGGGTTGTGGGTTCGATTCTGGTCAAGGCCACTTACCCAGGTTGCAGGCTCTATCCATGCCCCATTCGGGGCAAGTGCAAGAGGCAACCTATTGATGTGTTTCTCATATTAATGTTTCTCTCTCTCTGTATCTCCACTTCCACTCTCCCTTGTATTCTCTCTAAAAATCAATAGGGAAAATATCCTCGGGTAAGGATTAACAAAAACAAACAAATAAACAACAAAAAAAGATAGGGTGTGTTCCTCTCAAGGCTCTAGAAGAGAAAGTATTCTTTGCCTTTCTCAGCTTCTGGTGGCTCAAGACATTCCTTGGCTTCCAAGGCATCACTCCAATCATTACCTCCATCTCCACATGGCCCATTCTCTCTGTGTGTGTGTCTTCTCTTCTGTTTCTTATAACACTTGTCAATGGATTTATGACACACCCTGATAATCTAGGTTAATATAATCTCAATATATTTAATTTAATTATATCTTCAAAGATCCTTTTTCTAAATCGGGTCGAATTTACAAGTTCCTGTGGATACGTGGATAGCTTTTATGGGGACCCTATTAAATCCAATATCTCACTATCAGTTAAATTGTTCCCTATCCAAAATGGAAAGGGGCCTTGAGTTTCAGCTTCTATAATTAATTGTTATATGATGGGGAGAATGGTCTCCTAGATGTGAATCCAAAAGGTTATAGTTCCCAATTATAGCCACCTTTTTGACAACTAGGATTTAGGGCTTAAATCTTACAAATCCAAAGCTTATAATTAACTCCCTTTCCATGAAAAATAGGGGCAAGTCATCCTACATTCCCCCTTTTAGTGGAGGAGACGTGCGGTAACTCCAACTCAGTTTCTTTTTTCAGGAAGACCACACACAGTGATGCTAAGCATTAAGATGGTTTTCTGTCTAAGCCTATTTATTCACAATTCAGGATCTAATAAGGCAACCTTCTGATCAGGGGCAGTGGAAGTACTGGATGTGGGGAGAGTTATTTAGAAGGTATAGAGTTATGGATCTTGGTGAATAATTGGACATGATAATGGGAAACAGGGAAGATCCAGAGAAGAATACAAGACCTGGCCAAGATGAATCCAAGATGTTGGGTTTAGTGTTGAATATGCTGACTCTGAGAAAGTGGTAGCTCATTCAAATAGGAAACAAAATTATTAAACTGATGGCTGACAGATCTCCACCTTCTTAAATTATTACTATAAGGCATTGCTTTTTTTTTAATTAAAGAAAGATATATTGAGAATTTTTTAAAGTGTATCATGCTGGGTTTGAGCTTCATCTTTAAAGCTTTAACTAAACTTTCTACACACAGATAGTCTCTAAACATGATGCTATATATATATATGGCACATAGCATATGTACTTGAAGATGTGCTTTAATATAAGGAATTTTATTTCATGATTAGTATATTTGCTTGACTCTTATTTTTTCTTTAAGTTTTAAAAAGAAGTAGTTATTTTTAAATTTTCCTTTGTTTTCCTTTTCCTTTTCCATATTCTTACCAATTAAGCATTAAAATAAGCAGTTCATTTATAACTTATGTTCTTTTCTATTCCTTCCATCTTACTCTATTCTTAAACTAGTGAGAGGAGAAATGGGCTTTGTTATTGGTCTTACTCTTTTTCATAGGGTGAGATTTATACTTAGAAAGACTTTCTTCCTTGCTTCTTTGGAAACAGTGACATAATCGTATTGACTGTGAACTTACAAGTATGACATTGATTTACCACTTTGTTTGCACTCATTGTTACCTTTCAAATGACTCAACTTTTCACACCACTTTAACAGATGAAGAACTTACTAAGGTGGCACTAGTATTATAGCAATCAATGTGCTAGCTTGTATAAGTCTTTAATATTTTATTCTATTTTTTAAAAATGTCTTTCAAAAATTACATTTTATATACTTTTATATTTTCATTAAAATATTTAAATCAAGATTGTTATCTGGTCATGTTACTTTTTAATATGCTTTCATTTGAATGAACACAGGTTAAAACAAGGGGAGAGTAAAGTTTTAAGAGAAGTAAACATTAAGTTTAATTGAGTTCAAGCTTTAATATGATAGCAGAACATCACCAAGTGTATTCACATAACTTCCCTTAGCACCATAGTAGGTGACTGAAAAACTGAAGGGAATAAGAGTTCATTCAGAGCTTGACAAGAGTCTATTCAATGAGGGATCCACTGCTAGTCAATGTATCTAATGCCTCATTATACTGACACACTAGAGAAAAATGCTCTGCATTTTATATTGGGCATTTAAAATGAAAATGAATATCAAACCAAACATGCTATCTCTGCTTTGGCATGAAATAGTTGAGTCATTTTCATGGGAAGAGTGATGTTAACATGAGTAACTTCTTTGAAGCAGAAAAAAAATATTACTAAAAAATGATATTGACTTCTTTTTGTTTTAATTAAAGTTTTTCACTACCAATTGAAGCCAGTAAACAATGCCTGTCATACATATGTAAGGGCAAAAGATACATCCAATTTCTTCCTTAGGTCATTAAAACTTGTAATTATCTTTTTTCCTTTTTTTGGCTATGAAATTGAATGTGCAAATTTATGAATGAAAGAAAGGGTAGAAGAATAGCATCCAAAGCACATCATGTTTAATAAGATCAAGAGTATGTGATGTTGGGAGAAATTCTGATATCTCTAAAATGTCTGTTTCTACAATAATATTTCAAATGTATGCTTGAGGAAAAATTTAGTGCCCTAAGAAGAATATATAGAAAGAGTATATGTTGACCTTTAGATCCTACTGTTTATAACTAATATTGTATAGAAATTACTTTTAAACCATGTTATTCCAAAACATCCACAGCTTTATATTTTACATTGAAATCTCCCAATTAGCAGATATGACTGAAAATCTCCTTTGTGATTTAAAGCTATAGGAAAGGTACCATTCAAATTTAATATTTATATTGGATTTAAGCAACAGTACAGAAGGAAGATTTTGAAGATGACAGTTATGTCCATAAATACAAATAACCTTGCCAAATACTCAAATTTGGCTGAATTTTAACTGAAGGTTTATATCAATTACAAGGCCAAGGAATCTTCTACTTCTAAAAAAGGCATCATATCCTATCTTAGCTAATCTTACCAGTAAAGACGGTGGGCAATCTGGATGCTTTGCAATGAGCGGTGTAATAGGAGTTGCACTAGCGGACTTTCAAGGTTCCATTCAAACTTGATAGCCTGAAGTGAGAGAGAGAACCACTTTACTCTTGTTTGTCTCAGTGATAAAATTATAGCAGAATACAGAAGGACTTAAGAGGTTTGAGAAAAGACCAGGGAAATGTCATAAACATTTTAACAAAACGGTAATAATATATGTTGATAGCTTTATTTGCTGGTGCATCACTAATCACAGCGCACACACAGATCACACAGTTTAGGTGTGCAGTCTTGTTTCCTTTCCTTATGCATGCTTTAGTATCACAGGTAATAAATGAGAGCAGGTGGCTGGTAGAATTCAACCATGCCTCGGAGGAGAGTCCTGGCACAAAAATCTAATATCACAAACAATGCTCTGGATATAGACATGGCATTATTAGGCAACAGATATTTCTACCCCTTTGGAGATGTAATTAATGCACACCTAAAGCCTTCACTGAAATCACCAACCGATATATCAGAATCAACCTGCAGACCTTGAAGCTTTACATACAGGTTTGAAAGATGATTGTTGCCGCCGTAACTCACACACTCCCAAATTCTTTCCCTCTTCTCCACTGTGAACAACTCAGGTTTTCTAGAATACTCAACCTGTAGGAAAACACAGACCACGATGCAGCCCCTGATATCCTTAGAGACCTACCCAGACCTCCATCTGCACTGTGCGGGGGCCTCACCATCAATGTCAGTGCCTGGGCCCCAATATTGTCCCAAGAATCTGAATATTTTGCAAAAAGGAGAACCAGGTTCTCTTCAGAAAAATAAAAATATTCTTTCCTACTTGAGTGGCAAGACTTCTAACTTTAGTTGTTCAATTAGATCTCTCTCTCTCTCTCTCTCTCTCTCTCTCTTTCTTCAGAAAAATAAAAATATTCTTTCCTACTTGAGTGGCAAAACTTCTAACTTTAGTTCAATTAGCTCGCTCTCTCTCTCTCTCTCTCTCTCTCTCACACACACACACACACACACACACACACACACACACACTCAGTGTTTAAGCCAGGTTTTGTACCACAGTACAGACAGCAGAAAAAAGTTGTAAATCATTCATTCACACACATACCTGAAGAACCACCTTGATATGCCCACCATCCCCAAGGATGAGAAAGTTTATGAATTCCTAAGGAGTGAGGGTGATTTCACAGATGATTTCAGCACATTTGCATAAACTCCGGTAGCTGTCTGAATGCCTAACAGCCATAATGTATGTTGTCTTAAACTGTAGCTATGACCTTCATTAACTTACTTGCTAAAACTGGGCTGACTAGGTTCTGGGTTATGTTAATGCTCTAATAGTGAGCATATCCTGTCGGCATAGGAGCAGGAGAGATGCCTCAGAATTTATTTCCAGGTTTCTGTTATCAGCTTTCTCTTTAGGCTTCCCCATTATTTCTTCTTGAACCGAATAATTACTTGTTGATCTTGAATTGCCTTCTTTGTTTCCAAACTCCCTGCCTTGCTCTGTCTACTGGTACAATTTTCCCCTAAATCCTGCCTCATTGTCTAAGATATAGGCACTTTTTCTGGTGCCTATACATATCACATTATCATGAATCTATCTACAAGGTTATGACCTGTGTGTTGTATTACCTGGGTCTGTATCTTATTTGATTTCTAGCTATGAACCATACCTTCTATTTTCATTATGATCATAGAATCTTTTTTTATTGCTTTAATATAGCCTTTGTACTTCTAACAAGACAACACATGAAGTAACATGCTTTCATAAAGTGATCAATAGGGTACAATTTTCTTTATAACTTGGAAAGTTTTAAAATCAGGTCAGAGCATGGAAGTTTAAGGACAAACTCCACAACAAATGTTTTTATTTATTTATTGTTTTTATTAATCTCCACCTGAGGATATTTTCCCATTGATTTTTAGAGAGAGCAGAAAGGAGGGGGAGAGACATTGAGAGAGAGAGAAACATCGATGTGAGAGAGACACATCAAGTGGTTGCCTCCTGCACATGCCCTGACCAGGCTCAGGGATCGAGCCTGGAACTGAGGTACATGCCTTTGAGTGGAATCAAACCCAAGATCCTTCAGTCCGTAGCCTGACACTCTATCCACTGAGCCAAACCAGGTAGGGTCACAACAAATGTTTTTAAAATTCTTTCCAGTTTTTATTTATTTTATAGCCACATTATACACTTCATGGCCACCTCAAAACATTTTACAATATTCACTTTTAATTAGGAAATCATTACAACTTTACCTAATTGTACCTCTGTGCTTGTGCTATGCTGGATTCCATGTGCATCTTGTCTGAAGAATTTGGATTTGCAGGTGTATGGCTCTCAGTGATATTCCTGTTGCCAAGTGTGTTGGTTCAGATTGGGGCTTTCAAATGGGCTTAATCTTAACTTTTGTAAAAACTTACTTTTTTTAGTTGGGTGAGATATAACATGATGCCCATACTCAGGAGCTGTAAGATTAATGATATTTCTACACGTTGAATTAATCTTTATTTTCTCTATAGTATCCTGGCAAATCTAGGGAAGTAAACCTATAAGGATTAATATAAGTAATGATATGGTAGAGTTTTTTTCAAAACCAACTCTCTATGTAGTCTTCAAAGGAATGCATATTATTTTTGCAAAGTAATATGGTTTTCCAGCTTAATAATACAGGCATCCCCCATCAGGTTCAGAGTTTCCTTATCTTAAATGTTTAAAAGTGAAGGCATCTGGCATTTAAAATAGCTTGTAACTACAACCTGGCCTTTAAGATAAGAAAACACCTGAGTTAAAAAAAAAAAAAAAAAGCAAACAAACAAAGGCAAAAAACATAAAGACCACGATTTTGGATCCATTCAGCACTCACTATATAGTCAACTTGGAAAAAAATATTGTTCGTAGTTTGGATATTCAGTCATTTACAGGGTCATTTGTAAAACGTGTAATTGCTTATATTCCTAGGTAAGTTCATGTTTTTTTTCTAAAATTACTCCAACAACATTGTGATTTTTGATTCTGTCACTAAAATATATTCTCTATAGGAAAAATTTAGGAACTCCCTTATAACGCTACTTTTATAAGAATTATAATCAATTTAGAATACTCTAAGGCAGTGGTTTTCAACCTTGGCTGCACATTAGAATCATCTGGGAATCTTTTTAAAATCGTGATTTCTGAGCCTCATCCTCCGGAAATTCTGTTTCTTTGTTACTAATGTTGTGGCCCCACTCCATAACAAAGAAACAGAATTTCTGGAGGATGAGGCCCAGAAATCAGGATTTTAAAAAGATTCCCAGGTGATTCTAATGTACAGCCAAAGTTGAGAACCACTGCTCTAAGCGAAAGGCAAGAAATACAAAATTCTGAGGATCTGGCTAGCAAAAGGCTATTACTTATATAACACTTATTAACTTAATTTACATAGGTAAAAAAGACTTAATCACAAGCATATTTATTTTTTCCCAGTTTAATTAATAAGCGCATTTGCTTTTAAAAAAATCCTTTTTGGCTTTTACATACCTTTTTTGTAACTGTATGAGTTTTGGCTAGAGAATGTCTGCGGTTACCCATGTTGACATTTGAGCTATAATTTCTCCCTTTGGCTGGCCAAACTGCAATATCACTTCAAGTAGTCTATTGTTGATTCATCAGAAACTTTTAAAGAGAATTGTTAGCTAAAATCCTGGAATTGCTTGGCAACTCTGTTGTTCTTACCTGAACTAGCTGAGGGAGATAGTCCAGTAGTTCGTCATTCAGGAGGTTGTCTAATTGCTGAACTGCCACTTTACGAATTTCTTGATCTGGAAAACTAATACAAAGGAAATATATTTATTAAGCAGTTAATGGTATGGAATAATATATGAAAAATATCAGGGAAACAGAGAACAAATTTCATCCTCAGTGTATAAAATAAAATAATGGTCCCACAATCAATTAAGATACTAATAGTACCAAATAATTATTTTTCTACATTCTATATATCATGTCGATTACAGTAGAAAGTCCTTTTGACTAGATTTTGGAAACTTGAGTTTAAGTTAGATCCCCTTCCAGCTTTCTTGTCTATAAAATGTGGATGATAGTGATACCATTGTAATGAATCTAATTATTAATAACTGGAAAGGAGCAAAGGGAAGGTCAAATATTATAGGCTTGCCCAGAAAAGTCTGGATGGCATAGGGAAGATAGTTTGACTGACCTGTCAGTCAGACTTGGGAATAGGTCATTGGCCAGAGTAGGCCTGGCCACTGCAAGCATGGGAAGATAGGACATACTTACACCCTTAAGCAAAGAAGTTCTCTCTCCTGGTTCCCCTAGGATTCTTGTGACTCTTGTTGTAGGGTTGTGCTCTCTTGGGTCCCCTGCATTCACCCATACGGCTCACAGCCATGTGGTCCCCATACACAATGAACAAGTGGACGACAACTAGTCTGATGCTACATGGGACCCAGCTCCACCCATGGAATGGAAACTCTGGACATTGGCTTTGCTTTTAGCTGTTCAGGCACCATATGTGCCATGCCCACCATGGTTAGGGTGAACCTGAAGGGGTGGTGGTGAAGGATTAAAGAAGGCAGACAAGAGAATACAGCTGGGACTAGGTGGGACGCTGCTCTCGGATGGAGAGACAGAGCCACAGCCTGAAGCTGAGTCTTTATTTTATAGCCAGATTCCATGAGGCAAAGTAAGGGCGTGGTCAAGATGTTTACAATGTTCTTGTGGGTTTCGAATCTACTCAGTTATATGCACCTGCTTTGTTTTGGCGCACCTCCCGCAGCCCACCTCACTTAGCCAACTGGGACCACAGGTTCAGATTGTAAAGTCAACTTACAACTGTAGCCTGTGGCTATAATTGTGCTGGGAGGCTCTGCCCTCCAAACTGGGACTTGCACGTGGCTTTGCCACGAGAGGACAGTGCCCTCTCAGTCCGAGGCTTGAACCTGTCCAAATGTTGTAGCCGCTCTCCACAAATCCCCAGCTGCACATCTTCTAGGACTGGATTAAGGGAAATGGGACTTTAGAAACTGAGGGATGTAATTGCATGAAAATAAAGCTTTCTACCACCTCTCACTCTCCTGTGGAGGCCTCTGGAATGCTTATTCCAGCGGTACCCCAGGAATCCCACTCCCACTAGCAACAAAGGCCATCCATACATTTCTGCGATAATAATAGGACATCTAACATCTTTTCTAAAATAGTATGCAAATCTTTGCTTATAATTTAGCCATGCATTTATTAAATAAAGTATTACCAGCTGGAGACCTGATAGTTTATATGATTACTAACGGAATACATTTGAATGAGTTTGGCCAGATTATAATGAAAATTAGAAATCTAAAGCACTTTATAATAAATAAAAATAATTTAATAAGGCTAACTCTTACTAGAACAGGAGTTCTTGAGGGAAACTGTACCTTATTCATTTTAGGACTGCAGATGCCTCTGGTAAGATTTAGCACTCATTAGACACTTAATAAATGTGTGTTATTGAACTAAATTTATGGAGGTATTTAGCATTTGAAACACTATTTCAAATACAATTTATCCTCAAATGGGCTCCTCAGGTTGCCATTATCTTGTCCCATCAGCAGAGTTAGATTCAATTATCTCCAAGAGCCTGGAAGTGCCTAGAGATAACTTTTTGCACCATCTTGCTTTGACAAGATTTTGACATACTGCTTTGACATGATTAAAAAGAACTGAGCTTTTATTAGAACAATTAATTGTAAATAAATACATTTTCAGGAAAAATAGGCATAATTTAAAATTCCAAGGGCTATTTATAGTAACTCATTGGAAAACAGAGAAATGAATAAACAAATAAACAACCCCCCCTCCCCCGAATCACTTTGAATGATTTTTTTTTTCAATCTGTCAGGTAAGAACTTTGAAGATTGGCTCCCAATACTGGGGAGGTCGGAAAGCTTTAAAGTCTTTAATATCCAGTCTTTGTTCAGCATATGAGGTTACTGAAGGGTGAAATGAATACTATGCAGCTCCAGTGTAAAGGAAAAAATGGTATTACTCAGTATCTCTCAACTCTCCTTAACAATAGTTTGAAATGTAATGTTTAAACAGGTTACATATTTTTCCTTCATTTAAACTGAGCATTTTAATCGCAACAAGAATTTCACTTGCAAGGCTATTCACTCAAAACCCTTGTTTCTGACCTGCAAATACAGTTCCAATAATTATCTTTCTTTGAACATTCTGGCAATGAGACCTAGTGAGAACTGTAGTGCGGACGCATCTCAAGAAGTACCACACAGGTCGGAAGATCTCCGTGTAGCATCAAACACAGCTGGAGAGCAGAAAGAGAGTAATAAAAATGCAAAGCTAGAGGACTGTGAGCTGGTCTTAGCACGCTAAGACTTCATTTTCTCCTAACTAAATGTGATTCACTCTAATTTATTGCTCTCAATTTCTAAACCATTTGTCTGAAGCTTGCGGGCATCAAGGTCAGTGTGAGGACGTTTGAAGCCTTAGAGGGAATAGTTACTTGGTACATTTTGTTGCCTTAAGTGATGACTTAGGTAGATACAAGACACTCAGGTTTTCTTGTGTGCCTATGTTATCTTATTGATATGAATAACAAAAAATGAAAAGCAGCAAAAACAAAACTCTGATGAATACTATACCTCTAATTATGTATTTATTTCCAAATACCAAAGTGTAAACTCCATGAAATCAGATTTTTTTTGCCTTATTTGTTCATTGATATGTCCCCAATGCTTACAGATTGGTGGGCATGCCTACATATTTGTTTGAAGAATATCCAAACTGAATGGATTGTCTATCTACCTCAAACATCTCTGTTTCCAGACTTTTCATTTGTAGTCTGTGTTATCATCTTTTCCCAATCATGTAGGTCTAAAAGTGTGAGGTACTTCCCCTCTGTATGCCCTTCTCATTAAATTTTTTCCTCCTTTCCATCTGGCAAAATTCTATTCATCATTGTAGTAAAAGCTCAAGCATCAATTTACCTGCAAAGCTGTGATAGCCACTTTGTATACCTGTAGAGTTGATCATGTCCTTTTCTATGCGGTTTTATATTATGTACATGGTTGAAGGCTGGCTCATTCATTCATTAATTCTAGTGTTTGCACAGATGAATAAAAGTTTGTGGAGTTGATAATGACCTTTTATCTTGATATCTCATTAGTTGCTAAGTTTTGTTGACTTTTCCATTCTATTCTATTCTGTTCTATTCTATTCTATTCTATTCTATTCTATTCTATTCTATTCTATTCTATTCATCATGCCTGATTTTCGTTTCTTCTGCAACTGTCTAGTCTAGGTAATAATTATCTCTTGCTGGTACAAAAGTTTTTCATAGTAATATCTTATAAAATTTCTTAATTTATTTGTAAGTTTATTTGTCATAAAACATTGAATGGTTTGCTACTTCCACTGTGTCTCTTTCAGGCCCATGTAAATATTCAAGGCCAGCTGAACACTTCAGATTTTTCTACTCCTGTAATACTGCATAAACTGCTCTGGCTCACTGGGATGATATTTTTACTCTGAAAATGCCATGTGAATTCTCACATCTGTGAGCACTGTAACTTTCACTGGGAATATCCTCCTTTTTCTTCTTAAAGTTCTATTCCTCATTCAAAATGGGGACCAAATACTCTTAAGGTAAGGATCCCAATCTTTAGTCATCCATTTTCTGAACTCTAAGGGCCATTTACTAGATGACTCCATGGTCACTTAGGGTATGCTAGTGTGCATTAGGGTTTACCTTTTTATAGATGTATCATCATTCCTCAACTAGTGAATAAATCAACTGAGAATAAGGATTGTTTCATCTTCTATTTTTATGCCTAGGATTTAGTACCATTCTTCAGACATGCATTGATTTTAATATAATAAATAAAATCATATTATGAAGTCCCTTTTATTTTTTGCTGCGCTCTAATTTACATAGATAGCAATAGGTATAATTCCACAAACACCACTTATATAAATTCTAGATTTCCCCTCCTCCCCATTTACATGGTAAGAGAAAAACAAACCTGAACACAGTGAAAAAATAATATTTATATTTTTTCAGACTCCTTCAGGAACAACCTCCCCACCTCCAAAAAATACCTCACAACCTCATGACATCTGCATAGTATAATCCAAAAGAAAAATTATATATTTGTATCAATATGTAAAAATGCTGGAAAGAATGATTTTGCACCTTGATGGAAAGGGATGTATCTTTTATTCGCTACTGTTGTTTGAAGTTCAGAAAGAAATCGGGAGGAAAATTGCTAAGAAACTAACTAACCACATGACATCCTGAGATGTGACTAAGGCCTAACAGCATTAAAGCACATCCAAATATAACTCGCATTTGACTATTTTAGAAAGAGTTGGCCACATTAAAAGAGACTGGCAGAGTTAGTGAAGTTCCTGGGAAATGGGCTTTTTCATACATTGCTGGCAATATATAGCAACATGAATTAAAAAAGAAATCTTTAAAATGTGCTTATTCCTTTTCTAGCAATTTTACTTTGGTGAATTTATCCTAAGAAAATAATCAGAGATGTGGGTGAGAATATGTGTATATATGCAAAACTGGCAATGATAGAAACGTCTAAAAATAAAAAGTTAAATATCAATGACCAGGCAATAGAATATATGCAGTCATTAAAATATTAAATGAATATTTAATGATATAAAACAAGCATGTCAAACTCAAAGGCTAACATGGGACAAATAAACAAGGTTTAAGTTTATGTGGGCTGCAAAAAAACAAAAGCTTCAATTTTCATAAAAACGTAGGTTTATTTAGCTAAAGACATGCTGAATACAAAG